CAATGCGAACTCGCCCGCTAGGTTTCCCTGGCTCACTCATCCTACCTTACATTTTCGCGCGTTGCATTTGGTCAACGATTTGTTTTGCATGTTATAGATCGTGGGTGATGTGCTAACACCGCAAACATTGTGACCTTGGTTCTTGAAGGTCCTTGGCGATTATTCAACGTGTGATTTCGTTCCCATTTTGTTACAAAGGATTGTTTTATACCAGTATTTCCACCCTGCCATTTCGTCCCGTGCAACGTTTCCTCAACGAACGTTTATTGGTGACTGTGCGATCCTTTACCTCGAGATGTGGTTTGTCCTGTGTCAGACCAGGCTTGTCGACGTTGAATGAAGTTTCCGCGGCCATTTCGCACCGTTTCTCTCGGTGATGTGCTATGATTGGTTATGGAGACAACCGGATGGGGCCCTTGCATTGAGGGCTGACCGTCCCGGACAGTCCAATGCTATACCAAATCGGGTTAAATGGCTTCACCCGATTTGGCAATGAATTGGCTGCATCCACAGATAGGCCTGTGACGAGTATCGCCGAGTTATGGAGATGGAAAGGGGATCAGTATCGCCGAGTTATGGAGATGGAAAGGGGTTCGGTATCACCGAGTTATGGAGATGGAAAGGAGCTCGGTATTGCCGAGTCATGGAGGTGGAAAGGGATCCGGTATCGCTGAGTTATGGAGGTGTAAAGGGGCTCGGATTTATCATGTGTTCCGTCAAGCCGGCTTCACCTGCCACCAGTGAAACTGCATCACTTGGGGGATTAATATTTTAGAGGGTTTATGAATGATCTCTGAAATTAGAAGCAACAACCTTTTGCACGCTTGCTTTGCTGCGCTCAGTGAGAAAACGCACAATTTTGACTTATCTATCTTTTGCAGTTTGATTGATGGGTTCTAGCTGGTCTGGATGCCGAGATTTGGTGCAAAACTTAAAAACGGTCGCAAATGGCCGAATCCATCCTCCTTGTTCGTGCACGCGTGACACACAACACGTGCAACATGCCAATTTATACCCAGTGACTGCCCTTTCGATTTCCTAACAGTGCTGCTCCCGAGTGCGTCCGTGCTCTACGTGCCCAGATGTGGTAGAAAAAAAAAACGTGGAAAGAGAGCAAAAGCCATCTTCCTGGTTCGTGTGTGGCCGACACGTGGAACGTGCCACCCGTGTTTGTGACACCACATGCTTTCCCGTTCAATGGCCTATCGCAGAATGCCAGTCTCGCGTTCCTACATGCCGTAAGAGCCGAAATCCCGCATAAAGCGTAAAAATCGACGGAATCGGCATAATGCGTGGCGTATGTGCTTATGTGCACGTGCCGCATGACAGGTGCAGCATCACATTGTACACGTTTGAGTGGTTGCCCGTTAGATCGCCTATCGAAGCATGCCAGTCTTGACGCACTTCATTTCCTGATTGCTGAGATATCCCAAAAACGTGTAAACTCGTCAAAAGAGCAAACACGTATCAATCCATAGGTCAACAAGTGGGCGCCATGACATGTGGCACGTGTTACCACTCATTATTATCGAAGCGCGCCAATCCCGAGTGTATTCGTGCCATGGGTGCCGAGACGCGGCACAAAACGTAAAAACCCGTGAAAGAGAGCGAAATCCATCTTCGAGCCAATGCTACGTGATACTTGCGACCGTACATTTTGGCATGGCACATCTTTTCGTACCATTCCTGTGCCGCTGCGACCCGCCGTTCTCGAGATATCGGTGCGAGATGGCATAATCGTTGGGAGACAGTTAATTGTGGCGGCCAGTCACGTGATCAGGCGGCCGTTGGACCTTGAAAGCAACTGCCGGCGGCGGCCGGTGACTGGGCGGCGGCGTTCCGTCGCAGCACAAGACCCGTCTTGCAACCATTAGTCTAGCATCATTTGCGAGCGATCTTTGCAAAATATGGACAACAAAAGGATGGGACAGGATGATAGATAAGATAAGATAAGATGAGAGACAGGATGAACTAGCCAACATGCTAATGACGATTTCAACACAAAGTCTGGACAGTTTCGCCGGTAGAGGCTGGTATTCGGCGCTGACTTTAAACACTTGGCATCTTGCAATTTGTCTTGCCATTTACCGCTCGGCGGTGCGTTGCCCAAACTCGCGATGCGAATGAAATTGTAACCGCTTTAATTGTGAATGCTGGGAAACAAAATACACGCATATTCCTAAACTGGGTGCCGATGCGTGACCAAAAATGTTAAAAATCGGTCAAAAACGGCCGATTTAATTGTTTTTACCTCGTGTGCATGATTGCACGCTTGCTTCGCCGCGCTAATAAAAAACGCAGAAATTTTAATCGTCCATCTTTCGCAGTTTAAATCACGGTTCAAGGTACCCTGGTTGCCGGGATGTGGCGCAAAATGTGAAAAACGGTCGGTAACGGCCACTATCTATCTTGCTGGTTCCGTGCATGCATTGCACGCAACGCATGCGACATGGCAATTCATGCAACGTGATTGTTCAATTGTCTGTCAATGCATGCCACTCCCCAGTGGCTCCGTGCCCTGGGTGCAGCGATGCGCCACAAAACTTTCAAACCTGTCAAAAATACGAAATTCGGGCTTTCCGGAGCGTGTGGGTGTGACACGTAACGCGTGCGCACGTATACGTGAAAACACAAGACGTTTCGTTCCTCATCGCGGCATACCAGTCCCTTGTGATTTGTATGCTCTGAGTGCGGAAACGTGTCAAGAGACGTAAAAAACGACGAAATCAGCAAAGTAGATCCTCACAGCTAGTGTGCACGTGGAACGTGGCACGTGCGACATCTACATCTTACACCACGTGATTGCCCATTAGATTGTCTATTGAAGCATGGTTCTCTCGGAACCGCTTCATGCCCTGGGTGCTGCGATGCCGCAAAAACGTGTAAACACGTCGAAAATAGTCAAATTCATATTTCAACACGTGAACGCCATGACACGTAGCACGTGTGACCAATCACTACCATCTTACTCCTTCAGTCTTTGTAGAAGCGTACCACTCCGAAGTGAGTCCGTTTTCTAGGTGCCGATATTTGACACAAAACGTGTGACCGGTGGACAAGGGACAAAATCCACCTTTGGACCAGTGGATAAAATCCACCTTTGAGCGCGTGTGACGCGATACATACGATCGTATAATTTTGCATGTCACGTCTTTTCCTGCCGCTCTCGGGTGGCTGTGATCCTTTGCTATCGAGATATCAATGCGAGATGGCGTAATCGGTCGGATGCAGTAAATTACGGCACCCAGCCACGTGCTCAGACGGCCTTTTAACCTTAAAGCAACCGCTGGCGCCGGCCGAGACACTGGACGGCGCCATCCTGTCGCGGCGTAAAAAGCCGCCACGCAACCCATTAGCCTAGGCTCATTTGGGAGCAAATTATTGTGAAATATGATCAACAAAAGGGTAGGATGTGCCTTATTTGCAAAATTAGAATGCTTAGGCGGAGCCAAAAAATAGGGGTTTATCCAACGGCGGTGTAACACGTACTTGTGACGTGTTACGCATGAAGTGTGTTCCTCGCTTCAAGCACATCGCGTGAAGAAACTATGATGTTGCAATGACAGAGCAGCATATGCAAGCATTTCAAACGCAACGATTTTCCTTGTCTTGACTTCGTGGTACTGACACGACTTGGATAGCTTTCAGTGGTGCTGTCTGGAGGACGTTCTCCAAATCGAAACGAGTTAGAACGACAGCAAGCAAACCGGTGCGCTGTACTGTCACGTGAACCAGCTACCGCGTACTTTCAGGGTTTTAGGTCAGGCACTTGGTACCTGAATAACTGCTTGCACAGGATTATGGCGGAGAAAGAAGCTTGGTCTCACGCTCTGCACGCGCATAACTAAACGTAAAACTTCTAACGAGAGGCGATGGAGTTGGTACATAGCGCTCGCCTGCCGCCCTGTGCCAATGACCACCTACACGGAGCCGCAACGCTCGTCCACATTCGAAAAACCATCCAAGAGAATTACAAAACCCAGCCTTTTAGCTCGAAGCCCAATTTTCGTCTACAGACCCATTACATAACAATACGTCAGTCATGCAAGATGATTCTGGTTGTCCCAAAATACTTTGTAGAGAGGCTCTGTCGTGTGGTAACAAGCGGGCATCTCAAGCTTAACCAATAAATGTCTGTTTACAAGAGCACCCAAAGTAGTCTAAATAGGCGTCTTACACTTAAAAATGCTCAACAAATCACCGATTGTCATGAATACGTGTGGGGAGCAGATGCCAAAAGAGGCGCCGCCTTGCCAAAGGCGCTGTATTGCGGGGCCACACGCACATAAAGCGGACATTGGAAGCACTGATGTCGAGCCCCACATCCCACCAGAGCTTTTACATTTTTTGTTTTTTCAGATTGTTTTTCGCAAATCATGTGTCACTTGAAGTTGGGTTTGCTGAGCAGCAATGGTCTCACAGGCGTGTGAATAATTATCACCTGAACATTGTGGTCGTCCGCTACATTTGCCGCTCCATTCAAAGTTATACTTCCTAGTTTCATATTTTCCTTCCACCATCCTTCATCCATAACGCCGTCACGACAATTCATTCATGCTTCGTCGATTATATTTTATTGAGGCCCAGCTGCTTCGCTGCGCCGCCTAGTATTTGATGTAAGTACTGCGTTGAAAGCATCAACCCGCGACCCGCAGAAGTTGAAGTCCACTGTTTACCACAGACCGTTATGAGCTGTTAAATGCATGTTGTGCACTACACTAAGCTATGGACTCTCTGAGGCTAGTATTAATAACACTTGTGTTAAATGTCAACCTTTGCTACCGAGCCCATGTGCATTTCTATGCAAGCCAGGGCATTGTTTGACGTGACGAAAAGCGGGAAACTTAAAGCGCGTTATCTTACTAATATTCCGGACGTCTCTTTTGCAATAAAAAGACACAGTCACCGTGACCGTGACGTGACCTGTGGCTGTGACCGCAGTCTGTAACCCTAACTGCGATCGTGACCGTAACCGTGACCGTGACCTGTGACCGCAGTCTATAACCGTAACTGTGACCGTGACCGTGACCGTGACCGTGACCGTGACCGTGACTGTAACCGTGACCGTGACCTGTGACTGTGACCGCGGTCTGTAACCGTAACTGCGACCGTGACCGTGACCGTGGCCGTGACCTGTGGCTGTGACCGCGGTCTGTAACCGTAACTGCGACCGCGACCGTAACCGTGGCCGTGACCTGTGGCTGTGATCGCGGTCTGTAACCGTAACTGCGACCGTGACCGTAACTGCGGCCGTGACCTGTGACCGTGACCGCAGTCCGTAAGCATAACCGTGGCCGTGACCGCTCACCGCTGACTGACGCACGCCGCGTCTCTGCAGCCGACCCGCCGGCCAAGTTCAGCCGTCTGACCACCTCAGCGGTGTGTACGGCCTCCAACGGGCGGCGCTACTACGACAGGCAGACGTGGTGGGAGACCCTGGCCAAGCCGTGCACCCAGTACGTGTGCCGCGGCGGCCAGCGGGCCGTCCAGCAGGCTGTCTCCTGTCCGCCAGTCGACCCCAGCTGCACCAGCCAGGAGGTGTTCGGCAAGTGCTGCCCCAAGGAGACCGACTGCGGTGAGGAACGCTGGACTCTGCTCCAAGTGTTCGGCGCATACTCGTCCGTGCTCTCTTTTTGCTCTACTCTCCTGCTCTGCTCTTCGTGCATGCTTCATTGTTTTCTTCCTCCACTCTACTGTTCAACTCTTCGGTGCATGCTTTATTGTTTTCTCTTTACTCTGCCCTACTGCTCTACTATTCGATACCTACTCTACTGTTCGCTCGCGCTCTCTCTCTACTCTACCCCAATGCGCGACTGTTCGGTGCAACCGCCACTCTCTCTCTCTCTCTCTCTCTTCTCTCTCTCTCCTCCTCTCTCTCCTCTCTCTCTCTATCTCTCTCTTTTCTCTCTCTTCTCTCTCTCTCTCTCTCTCTCTCTCTTCCTCTCTCTCTTCTCTCTCTCTCTCTCTCCTCTCTCTCTCTCTCTCTCTTCTCTCTCCCTCCTCTCTTCTCTCTCGCTCTCTCTCTTCTTCCTCTCTTCCTCTCTCTCTCTCTCTCTCCTCTCTCTCTTCTCTCTCTCTCTCTCTCTCTCTCTTCTCTCTCTCTCTCTCTCTCCTCTCTCCTCTCTCTCTCTCTCTCTCTCTCTTCTCTCTCTCTCTCTCTCTCTCTCTCTCTCTCTCTCTCTCTCTCTCTCTCTCTTCTCTCTCTCTCTCTCTCCTCTCTCTCTCTCCTCTCTCTTCTCTCTCTCTCTCTCTCTCTCTCTCTCTCTCTCTCTCTCTCTCTCTCTCTCTCTCTCTCTCTCTCTCTCTCTCTCTCTCTCTCTCTCTCTCTCTCTCTCTCTCTCTCTCTCTCTCTCTCTCTCTCTCTCTCTCTCTCTCTCTCTCTCTCTCTCTCTCTCTCTCTCTCTCTCTCTCTCTCTCTCTCTCTCTCTCTCTCTCTCTCTCTCTCTCTCTCTCTCTCTCTCTCTCTCTCTCTCTCTCTCTCTCTCTCTCTCTCTCTCTCTCTCTCTCTCTCTCTCTCTCTCTCTCTCTCTCTCTCTCTCTCTCTCTCTCTCTCTCTCTCTCTCTCTCTCTCTCTCTCTCTCTCTCTCTCTCTCTCTCTCTCTCTCTCTCTCTCTCTCTCTCTCTCTCTCTCCTCTCTCTCTCTCTCTCTCTCTCTCTCTCTCTCTCTCTCTCTCTCTCTCTCTCTCTCTCTCTCTCTCTCTCTCTCTCTCTCTCTCTCTCTCTCTCTCTCTCTCTCTCTCTCTCTCTCTCTCTCTCTCTCTTCTCTCTCTCTCTCTCTCTCTCTCTCTTCTCTCTCTCTCTCTCTCTCTCTCTCTCTCTCTCTTCTCTCTCTCTCTGTAAACTCTTCTGTTCGCGTTGTGGTGCATGCGGCTGTCGTTATTCCTCCCCAGCTTCGTACGGCCTCGCCACCTTCCGTAGCGTAAGGAGTGTCCTCCTCCCCCCCCCCCCCCACACACACACAATTGCACTCTATGGATTCACAGTCGATGTCCGCCCACCCATGGCGGGGTGGGTGCGAGTCGCTTTAGGGCGCTCGCTATTTGTCCTTGACAAGTATTGCCTGCGGCCGGTGGCAGCGGTCGCGCTAAAAGTCAGTTGACGTCAGAGGGCAGGACGGACCGTGCCGACCCCTGGGGCACCTTCAACCTTCGCCACTAAATTCTGCCGTTGGCTGGAATAGCGCTATCGGATGGCAAGAGTCAGGCGTCACACAACAAGCCCTGCTTAGTGTGAGCTCTAATCCCAGAAATCCATCCATTCAAAGGTTTCAGATCAAATCCTTTAGAAAAATATATACTAGAGTAAAAGAGCCGTGGAAGCAGACCTGTTGTTGACCTGCAACTGAAATAAATTTATGCGTTATAGCCTATGATGATAATGCAACGCGATAACGGTCACATGATAATATAGCATCGTATAAAAGTCATGAATAGACATACCAAAATGGGGAAAGATATTGATGAATCATGATGAAATAGATGATATAACGTGATAGTGCTAATAATAACAGATTATCATGCGGTGTCTCCTGCAACGGACTTGCCATATAGCAACATAGTCACACTGTGTCTTTGCTGACTCTATGTACCTTTTAATACGCTCTCAGTAGGTTGTGGATACATGTCACGATTTAGTTCCACGAGGTGATGTGGGTGAATAGCCGCGAATACCATCTGAAGTATTCCGCGACCTCTTATAATCTGGACTGTGGATGGGCTGGGGTGCACAAACTTTATGCAAGTGATGATATCGGAATACTGTGAAAGGGCTAATAACAATGTTTGCGATGTTTTCTGTCCGCGTGACCTCGACCTTAAATAGCCTTGTCATGACTGTTGGCATATTAAGCTGGTTTTGGCTCATGACACGACACAGGTTGCTCAAGGTTAATGCCATGCACTTTTCCATAAAGGGCATGATGTGACTTTGAACTCGAATGAACGCGGGAGAAGCTCTGGGCTATGATGACTTGTATGGTAGTCGGCGATGCACAATCGGTCGCATCCTCACTCCTTATGGATCACCGGAGTTTTTTCTTGCGCACAAGACTAACAATGTTCGCCCATTGGCTCAGTTGATTAGAGCGTGTGCCCTGCGATCGACTCATTGGTGGCGGGGTGCATTTGAATTATTTAACACGCGCCCGGGTGGCAGGCTAGATACCCTTCGCTCGGGTGTGGGGGGGTCAATTTGCCCCCCCCCCCCGAGATCTCGGGAACTAAGAAAGCTAGATACACCAAATTTACAGGATGTGTTGACCTGTATGTGAACCACTTCTGTCAAAGTTTCAGATTCCTAGGTTATGATCTTCGAGTAAAAAAGGCCAAACAAGGTCAAGTTTTAGGTTGGTCTCCAAAGTGCCGCCCGAACCTAGATAGCTGTTTCCAAGCAAAAGATCACATTCTCATTCTAGGTCAGTGACCTTGTTTTACCTTTTGAAGGTCAAGGTGACCAAAATCATACAAGATTGCTTTGAGTTTTGTATTTGACTAAGCGACAAAGATTACGCTAGGCGGTATGTTCCCAAAACAAAATGTTGATCTCGGTCATTCTAGGTCAATGACCTTTTCTGACCTCTAAGAAGTCCATGGAAGATGTACTGGAAATGAACACCAGAAACTATCCCATACAGCAAGCCCTAGAGTAACAAAACAGGTTGGTTTGGACCTTGGTGTAACCTTCATACCTGACGTTAGGTCAATGTTATTTGCTCATCCAATATTTGCATTGCCTAAGAAAGCATCTCAGAGATGTGTGGCTTTGTCTAACACTCCGTTGTTGGATCAGATTGAAGGATTCCCTAGAAATTGCCTTCACTGAAATCATGGCCTGACTTTGACATGCTATAGGTCAGCAGCCTTACAAGGTACATCTAAATTGTTAATGCCGAACGATCCGCCATTCAGTTGTCTACAGCTGTGCCAAATTTGGCGCGGCTACGCCGCGCCGTTCGGAAACCATTCTGGGAAAAACCTTTGCGGGGGTCAATTAGACCCCCAGCCGAGCGCGTGTTAAGCCACTCGCCATTTGCTCCTGACAGGCATGGCCTGCGGCCGGTGGCAACGGTCGCGCTTAAGGTCAGGTGACGTCAGAGGGCACGGCGGACCGCACTGAGCATTGTGGCGCGCTAAACTTCCGTCACCAAATGGTGCCGCTGAGCTGGAATTACGCGATCAGAGGGTAGGGGTCGGTGCTCACACAAGCACTGCTTAGCGTGAGCTCTGATCCCAGTAATCCATCCATCCAAAAAGATTCGGATACGATTTTTAAGAGAAACGTCTGGTGCTGAGTTATTTAACATTTGTGCCGCACAGGGTTTTGTGAGAGTCATGCCATAGATCAGTGGCATGATATGGCATGGGTTGTAAATTTGAAGCCAGGTCCAGGTGTAATAAGAATACAAACTCAGAGAGCCACTATCGCCCTTCGAAGTGATGAACGACTCGGGAAGCCATGAGCCACCGAGGGGAAGGGGTGGGAGGCCATCCCCCGTCCCCCTGCGAGCCGTGAACCACCGAGGGGAAGGGGTGGGAGGCCATCCCCCGTCCCCCTGCGTCACAATCTCACTCGCCGACCGGTGCGTACACCGTCGGTAGTGTGTGATGAAGTGAGCCAGCCCACGACACCAGTGGCAATGACAAAGCTCTTACCACACTGCTACGCGCGGTGTCCACAGCAATCGTGGTTGCGTCACAGCAGCCGGCCACTCCGATGTGAATAACGTGATTGTCGAGCATATCTGGCGCGATGATAAAAACAGCCTTTTAAAAACACCATCCCTGCATAAAGCGTTTCGAGAAGGTCGGTATGGTCGTATACGTACCAAGCCAGCGGACGTCAAATTTGGGACAGCCTCGACAAAAAAGAATCACGCGCCGTGGCCGGCTTCAGCGTGGGCCTACTGGAAGGTGTGATCTTGAGCGCTATTTCCCGACCCTACAGGAGCCTCGAAGACCTGTTACACGGCCAGCGATGAGGAGATCGCCGAGGGCGCCACCTGGTGGGAGAGCTCGCGGAAGCCGTGCACGCAGTACCAGTGCCGGGCCGGCGCCCCGGTCCACAAGATGACTGTCACATGTCCGCGACTGGCCGCGCGGTGTCGGCCGCAGACCGTGTACGGCCGATGCTGCCCCACCTGCGGTGAGGGCAGGAGCTGCGATGGTACCTTCTCCTTGTGCCACGGACCATTTACCCCGCCCCTCCCATTCCCCTTCCCCCCCCCCCCACCTGCGGTGAGAGCGGGAGCAAGGTACCACCGCAACGATGGTACCTCCTCCGTGTGCCACGGACCATTTACCCCGCCCCTTCCACTCCTCCCCCCCCCCCTACCTGCGGTGAGAGCGGGAGCAGCGGTGGTACCCTCTCCTTGTGCCACGGACCATTTACCCCGCCCCTCCCATTCCCCCCACCCCCACCTGCGGTGAGAGCGGGGGCTGTAATGATACCCTCTCCTTGTGCCACGGCCCATTTACCCCGCCCGCCCCATTCTCCATTCACCCCCACCCCCACCCCACTAGGGTCACACGTGAGTGATGAACGGCGGCTGAGTTTTTGTAGTAGAGGGCATTTTTGGCAGTGGAAAAATTACAATTTTGTCATTGATTGAGCCCGCTGGCAAGGCTGCTCCATTGTGTCAGGCTTTAAGGCAGTGACTGGTCGGCACATAGTTCTTAGACCGGACTGTCATGGCCTCAATCAATTTGTCTAGCTTTTAGCAATAGATGGCGTCAGAAGACTGATTTTACAAGTGGGCCCTACTTAGAACAATCGCGAATACCGAGTATGACATATGTATGCAAGTAAGAACGCACTCGCATCCGACCAGTGGTCAGCTAATCATCAGCAGACATCAGCATCAGCATCTGCATCAGCATCAGCAGACCAGCGGTCAGCTGACCCCGGTTCCAAACCCCGAGCAAGCTCGCCTCATCAGTCGTTGTCCTGTAGCTACATCTGTGGCGGGAGCGGCCGCCTGCCGGAGCACCAGCGGCCGCGTCTACAGCGAGGGCCAGACGTGGTGGGAGTCGGCGCAGCGGCCCTGCCGCCGTTACATCTGTCGGGCGGGACGCAAGAAGCTAGAACACACCATCAGCTGCCCGACCCCCAAGCCGCGCTGCCGGACGGTGCCCAGCTACGGGCAGTGCTGTCCCACCCAGACCCAGTGCGGTGAGTATGGCTGGCTAACAACATTCCATTTATGCCTTCCTTTCAATTCTGCCCCGAGATAGCAGACCTCGTCTCTACCCCTGTCAGTTCCAAGCTGGCCCTGCGCCCGTTGTCAGCTTGGGATGAAACAGGCCTTGAATGCTGTTTGGGTCTAGTTATTTTTTTTCCTTCATGTTTCCATTTTTCTTGCTAATGATCAATGATGCACACTGGTGGCGGACCGGTGGATGGTATACGATGGAGGAATTAAAGCTTTTAATTTGCAATTACCCTCTACTTGCTGTTGCTCTGGGCAACGCATAATCTGTATCAATGTTCTCTGCAATGGTTATGACAACCCGTATGAACTTGATTTCAGACGCTGGAACATCGATGCTTGGGAGAGGGTCGGTTTTTCATTGTCCCCTGCCATACTGAATGACCGAAACTTTCGCTGCTTGCCCCACCCTGACGCGCCTGTGCGGCGCCTGCCTCTCAGACGACGACACGCGGCCCTGCACGTGGAACGGCACGTACCGTCCGCACGGCTCCCAGTGGCAGATCGACGCATGCACGGTGGGCACGTGCAGGCGCGGCGTAGTGCAGCGCACCCCGGTGCAATGTCCGCCGCTGCCACCCGGCTGCCAGCTGGAGCGCGATCCAGCCACCTGCTGCCCCCGCTGCGCCGCCACCACCCCCGGTCAGGCTCCGACGGCTGGGGCTGGGGCAGGTGGATCGTCCTGCCGCGCGCTGACTGCGGTTGGAGCGCTACGAACGCTGTCTCTTGACCGAGCGCTGGTTTGGGCGGTCAGGCTCTCATAACGGTCGATACAGTGGTGGTCCGGCGTCGATGTGGGCTGCCACAGTGCCTTAGATTCCACTGTTCAAAGTGTCGATTGCTGTTGATCTGTTTGTATTGTCGGTAACGGAGGTGAAGTTTCCATTCAAGTGTGGGAGTGGGGAGGGGACTCCAGCTCCCCAACTTAAAAGTGGGTCGAATCTGAGAAAAACAAGACTTTGTACGCCGTTGGATATACTTATCCGCTTTTCTCCCGGCCTTTGCCGCAGCGTATGTTGCGATACCTCACTGCTAGCAGACGATCGTGTCGATTATTTTATCTAATCGCTGACGGCGCCTCGCCGATCCACTAGTCTAGCGGCCATTTCGCAATGTGTGATGACCTGCGACGTGATAGGAATGTGCCTAGCCACCCTTGCTCAACTCTTAGAGGCTCACGTTCCAGATGAGGCCTTTATCAGTCCGCTGTGGCTGGTTCGGAGAAATCCTGACCCGAGCTTTCCTGCCATCTAACGGCTGCGATCGATACCAATAAGTGCCCTGTGCGCCACAAGGAGCCGGCCTAGCATTGCTTCGCTGCCCGCGCTTACCACGATGGCTATTGTTTTCAGACCAACCGTGTCTGGTTGCTGGCTCCAGTTACCAGCACAACCAGACGTGGGGTGATGAGTGTGCAGCTCACCTTTGCAACAATGGCAAGGTCATATCGCAGTACTCAGAGTGTCCTCCTGCACCCAGGGTACGTGCATAGCTGTCGTCAGAGCCATGGTTGTTATGGCTATCATGTGCCGGCTGAGCCTTGTTTTCAAACTTCCTGAGGTGACGACACACTGGTACACAACGCCACACAAATGATTACAGCAGCCACCTGCCATTTCGCAGCCAACATCCACAACTCACTGGTGAAAGCATTGCTTGGTCTGCGATACTTGTCACTCAAGTTGTTGGCCTGGCAGCCTGCCAAATCATTTTCAATCACAGCCCATCAGAGTGTGACATGGCATTGCTTTCCGCACCTTTCTCTCCATACGTTCGGATGGCGAGCCTATGAAGCTATTTCTAACGCCCATCGTTGTAATAAACACAAGCGCCCAACACCTTCAGGCCTTACAAGTGTAATTGCAAGGCCCTTCACTGCCTAGCACGCCTAAACTCGAGGCATTCACTTGGCCTACCTTCACCAGCTTTATCAAGGGCTTACTTGATTTTTATACTGACCGGAATGCGTCGATTGCAAACCACACTACAAGACGCCATTACTTGCTGTTCTGATGACGCCCGGCAAGTGCGGTCTCTGAGAACGTTTGCCCGCAGGCGACCTGCGCCCCGGTGCGGCGGACCGGCTCATGCTGCGTGCGCTGGTCATGCGAGACCACCAAGTACTGGGGCCACTGCAGGCCGGACGGCGGCGCGGCGCCGTCCATGCTCTGCTACGAGCCCGGGCCGCATGAGGGCCTCTGCACCGTCAGCGACCGCCTGTTGGACCGCGGCTGCTGCCCTACATTCGACTGCCTCGGAGGTAGGCTCCGGCTGCAGGCGAGGCCGCGACCGTCGGATGACGTCCGGCCGGCTGGCCCTGTGCCAGCCGGGTCCAAGTTGATGGCCCTGTGCCTCTAGCTGGGTACCCGGCGTGAAAAGTAAGAGACGTATTTGAACCAGACTTATCGGTGTTTTCTCACAGCGTTAAAAAGCCGTCAATGCTTTCAGTTTTTACAATGAAAACTCACGTTCTAGAATTGTTCAGCAGCCCTCCCTCTGTCATGTTGCCGCACATCCTGGAAGCTTTCGGCACTCTGGGGGTGCACTTCGTGTGAATATTTGCTGCCTCGCAGGCTAAGGCAGCGTGTTGGATAAAACCATGCAACGCCTCCAAATGACCTTGAACTTTGCGGCGCGCCGTTTCCGGCCGTCGCAAATTTGATCAGACCTCGGGCGCGCGTGAGGAACTGGACCAGCCTACTGCCAGTTAGCTCTTCCAGCAACACTCCGTTAACTTGTCTCACAAAATGCTTTTACCGGCGAACCGCAAGCTCTCGCCTCTCAGATACAGTTCAACTTTGCTCTTCGCTCATGCTGTACACGCCAAAAAGCCAATCTACTCGTCACGCGCGTGAAGACGGCGGCGGGTGGGCAGCACCTCATGCGCAGTATCTTATAAATTACAACATTTTATCCCCGAACCTTCACATTTTGCCACTCGCGTCTCTTAAGAGTGAATTGCACCTGCAGTCATTTAGCAGGAACTCAATGAATGCACGTGTGCGCGCATGTGTGCATGCACCTGAGGCGTGTTTTGCATGTGAGCCTTTAATGTATCCCTGCGTGATTATCGCCGTAAGTCCACCGCTGCGGACGGGGCGGGAGTCTGCCACAGCTCTGTCCACCGCTGCAGAGGAAGCGGCTGTCTATCACAGCTCTGTCCACCGCTGCGGAGGGAGCGGCCGTCAATCACAGCTGTGTCCCCCGCTGCGAAGGGAGCGGCCGTCTATCACAGCTCTGTCCACTACTGCGGGGGGGGGGGAGTGACTGTCAATCACAGCTCTGTCCACTGCTGCGGGGGGGGGAGTGACTGTCTATCACAGCCCTGTCCGCTACTGCGGGGGGAGTGACTGTCAATCACAGCTCTGTCCACTGCTTCGGAAGGAGCGGGAGTCTACCATAGCTCTCTTCGCCGCTACGTAGGGAGTAGATGTCTATTCGAGTCACCGCCTTTCGCCAGACTGTCTGGACACCAACCGGACGCGCCACCCGCACGACTCCAGCTGGCAGCATGGCTGCTCCACATACCGCTGCAGCGACGGCGTCATCAGCACCACCACGCAGAGCTGTGCGCCGCCCGTGAACCAGCACTGCCGGCTGGTCAGCTCGACTGACTGCTGTCCCAGCTACGACTGCGGTGAGAGTCTACCTGGCGTGAGTCACCTGGCTCCCGGGGCTACGCCGCGACCGTCAGATGAGCTGCATGGAGGGTTGCTGTCTGTCGGCACAGTCGCGGGGCTTCGGCAGGATCCGGTGTCAGCGGGCTGACTCCGGAGACAACTGCAGTACGGTCGCGAAACTCGTCTCGCATCGGGTATATCGGGTGGTGTTCGATGAGAGACTGTCCGACAAGAGCGGACCCGGGCTTTAGCTCGCGGGTGAAGGAAGAGGTCACCCGCGGCCTCAATCCCAGGGTCACATCTCTATCGCCATTCTTGTGAGGTGCAGCGAGTGGCGTTCGTGTGCCGCCATGGCTGCCGCCGGCCGTTGAGTGTCTGTGCCGCCGTGTCCGTCGCCTGCGGTTGAGCATACGTGTGTGTTGTGGCCGCCGCCGGCCGTTGAATGTGTGTGCCGCCGGCTGTTGAGTGTACGTGTGTGCCGCCGTGACCGTCGCTGGCTGTTGAGCGCCGTGCTCGCTGGCCAGGCTGTGAGGACGGCGGCCAGCGGAGGGAGGACGGCGCGCTCTGGACGGCCGGCTGCCACCAATACTCGTGCAAGCACGGTCAGGTGGAGTCTCGCCGCATCGCCTGCGCGCCGCCGCCGCGGCCCGACTGCACGGCCGGCCCGCCCGGCCCGCCGGACTACTGCTGTCCCCAGTACAAGTGCAGCTGCGCCGCCGTTCTGTGTGCCGCGCCACCCACCGAGCCCGGCTGCCAGGCCACGGGCACCAGCGACGACGGCTGCTGCACGCTCTTCAGCTGCGCCGGAGGTACGCGGCGTCGCTGTGCGCAGTCGGCCGCGGTTTGGGCCCGCGCTGCTGTTGCTGTACCAGTTGCTGTAAATAGCAACCAATGCGAGGTTTAATGCTCCAGGCATAGTCCGCAAGCCCAGCCTGTTGTAGTGTGCCGTGTTCCGCGCCTCTCGCTGTCTTGCCACGCCTCGCACGGTGACGACGTGACCCGGCCGCAGATTGCAAGGACGAGCAAGGGCGCGTGCACACGGAGGGCTCTAACTGGTCCGTCAAGTGCACCAAGTACCACTGCGCCGGCGGCAGCATCAGCCAGGTTTACGAGCCGTGCCCACCGCCGCCGCAGCCCAGCTGCACCAAACGCTACCTACGCCGTGAGTAGCTGTGCACAGCGCCGCCACAGACCAGCTGCACCAAACGCTACCTACACCGTGAGTAGCTGTGCACAGCGTCGTCACAGACCGACCATACCGGACGTTACCCGCGTCACAGGCTTAGCGTGTTCGGCCGTTGACCCCGGCGTCTGTCATGTAGCAGCAAATAACACTGCAGACCCAAGTTCAAGTGGCCCTGGGAGATGGGTCACAGCTAGTTGCTGCTCTCAGAAGACTTAAAGGAGGTGATTCGACCGTGATACTCACAAATACTCCCAAAGACACTGCCCGCATAAGTCCGAAGCGCGCGCGTCATGGGCACGGCAAATCCTTCGCAATGGTATACCCTAATGAGACAGGACACTACCTCGGTTCCATTGGACCCGCCTTGCTGCGGCCTTTGTCTGAATCAAAGGGACCTAGACCGTTGTCCGTTACAACGACCGAGTCACAAGCTCGCGGTAAGAAGACCGAGTCACGCGGTAAGAAGACCAAGCCAAGCGGTGAGACGCAATTAGCGAGGAGGCTGTGTAGCTGTAGAGAAGAGCTGCACAAGCTGCAGGTGTTCATGGCAGATGTTATAAAGTCAGGCGCCCATGGCCCGGTTTCAGCAGACGAATGCTGTTTCGGCTTCTCCGCATTCAACCTCTACATTAAACGGGCCGCACTTTAACTGGCACCTCGTCCAAAACTCAGCGGCTGTCAGACGTCGTTTACCCTCTCACCTGGCTTCCAAAGGTCGGCAGCCCCTGCAGGGGCTCCGCCTCGCTTCATAGTGAGCCTCGACTCTGATTGACCTTGGCCTGACCTTGCAGCGGATGACTGCTGCCCGGTGTACGACTGTCCGGCGCAGAAGTGCGTGCCCGGGGAGCACACGTTCGACGGCTGTAACCACTGCACCTGCCTGCCGCCCGGCACGCTTGTCTGCACCAGGCGGGATTGCAGTCCCTCAGGTGCGTGCCATCAGTGCAGGAGTGGTTGGGGCTTGGGGGGGGGGGGGCGCAGTCAAGCATTGCAGCTCCTGCACACGGACCGAGTCAAGTGCTTGTCGATTAGCCGCGACAAACCAATCATTTTCTTCTCATTTTAAAGCCCATTGGCCAATGTTACAAGCAGAACGCCACCGACGTTCTTTTTTTCTTCAATTTTGCATCACTGAATGCTAAAAACTGTCTGGTAAAATAAGAGCAGCACGGAAAATACGCTACGAAAAGGCAGACAATGGGGCTATTTAAGTATTATAAAACTCTGTGTGTGACAACTTCTGGCGCGGCACTGCGCCATAGTTGTAGAGACGGCACTTTTTACTTCAGATAAAACCGACACCCTACCCCAACATTTTTGTCCGCTGCGGCATGTCACTTGTGCATTTGGAGTAAGATTTCAGCTATCTGAGATGGGGAAATGAAACCAGCTTTGCTCCAATACTGTCCCAGCCATATTTTCATGCAGTGCCTTGCACCTTTCTCATGTTCCGTTGCGAGGAGAGCATTGACAAGACCCCTCCCTTCCGTGCACATTACTAGGGCGTGTGACCGCATATGGAAAGAAGCAATTGAAAACGAAAGCAGGCCAATTATTATTGCCATATTGCACAGAGTACACAGAGTATATGCACAGAGTACCATATCCCCAAGTACTCTGTACCATATATGCACAGAGTACATCAGGCGTGGATCCAGAGAGTGGCCACGGAGCCATGTGCATCCCTTGGGCTCTGAAGGGGCCCATTGGCTCCGAAGGGACCCATAGCTGGCCGAACAGGTGCAGTTCTTTTAACACAAAACGCAACAAAGTTGGGCGTCTTTGGACTTGTAGGGCGACCAAGAACGGTCGCAAGCGAAGGTAAAGGGCCCACGAGTAGACAAAAACAAAACTTCAGTGATTGGAAAGCTGTTATTTGGAAATTTTAAGAGCCTCGTCACTGTCCAGGAGCCTTGTGCCGTTTCTGGGGAACCTATATTCCCACTTGCAGGGTCATTCTGACCGCTAAGGAGCCTTTCACTTTGCCCTTGATTTTTAGCATTTGCTCGGGGGGCCCTGCGCTATTGCTGGGCGCTTCTTGCTAGGATGCCGGGGCGCTCTTGTCAATCAGGAGCCTTCCACAGATTTTTGCCATTCGCCGGAAAGGCTCTGTACGCTGAAGCTGGGAGCCCATATGTTTGCCTGCTGGGGTATTATCGCATGCGCCCTTTATGTCGGTTTCGTTTACCCTACCGACACACTCGTGACAGTCTCATGGGCCCTCTACACTAGTCTAGGGCGCTTCCAATTCTCCGTGACTTGCCTTGGGCCCTTCACTCTTGTCGAGCGTCTATCTGGTAATCTCCTCGGCCACATCGGTCGGGGCACACCAAAATGGGTCTTTGGTGCTTCTTATTTGAATGGAGAGCCGTACACAATTGCCGGGGCCCATCTGTTAACCTGTTCGGGCACACTCTTCACTTCCATCGGGCTCTATCTGTTAACCTGCCCGTGTACATTTGACCGCACAGGGATATCAATTCATGGCCTTGCATAATTCCCTTGCTCAGAGAGTCCTGTGCTCTGGCCGGGGCCTTATATGTCAGCCTGCCGGGGCACTGCCGATCGTTCAGCCCCCCCCCCCCCCCCACGTTGGTCTTGTGTTCTTTTCACCTGCCCCGAGGACCCTGTACTCATTGACGGGAGCCTCTATGTTGGCCTCGCAGGACACCCATGATCGGTCAGGCTCTGTCCCTATTAGCATTTGTGCACAAGCCTCAGAGCAGTAATGGTGTACGTGCCGATTAATTTTTATGCGCATTTGTGGAAGGTGATTTTACGTGCCTCCGACATCGCACGTGTCATTTCCCTTGGCGACTGAGCGTGTGACACTTATCAAACTTGTGCGTCACGTTATTAACATATTTTGAATGCTGGGATATTTTGTGTTCGTTTATCACAAATACACATCTACATTAGTTAACAACGGTCAGCTGACTACATCGCCCAGTCGGCTAGCCGTAAATAAGCTAGGAATCGAGTCGGCGCCTGGTTTTGATGCTATTTGGCAGCTCACTTGAGCTTATTTTGCCTGTTTTTCCGAAACACTTGGCCTCAGAATCAAAGGGTTTGACGTGATCTGGAGAAAATGAATGAGCTCTATGTATGTGCATCTATAACATGCTCGGGTTTAGCACAATAAGATGGGTTCCCAGATTTGCAATATTTGTATATATATACATATATATATATATATATATATATATATATATATATATATATAGGCATGTGTATATATGTGCATATATATATATATATATATAATATATATATATATACACATCCCACTTACTTTTTGTCTGAAAATTTAATTACTGGAATGCGAGGACATTTTTTGGAGGGGGCCCACAACGTTGGGTGCCCCCCTCCCCCTCGACGAAATTCTGGATCCGCCTCTGGAGAACATGTAGTATGTGTACAGAGTACCGTATTCCATAGTACTGTCATGCAATATCAACTAATTCCATTTTGATGGTGTAATGAGAAAATAACTGAGGGGTCCCAAGTCGGTTAGAGGAGGCCCGACGAGCCTGGAGGGGCCACCGGATCCGACGATCAAGGGCTCGATTGGAGAGTCTCTTTGCACGAAGGGCTGGTCAGAGTCTTATTTAGGGGTTCCGGTCCGCGGGACACGACCTGATATGGCAGCCAGGGGACCCTTTGCGCCGATCAGGGACGCCCTAAGTATATATGGGTCAATAGGTCGGTCAATCACCACCAGTACCGCACAATCGGTACCGTGACGGCATGGGTCTGAGGGTCCATCCCAAACAAGGAAAAAGCTAGAGCCAGTAAATTTCACTGTTCGGCACTGTTCGGGCCCCTGTATCTGTCAGGGACCCACAACGCCTAATAGACGGCTCTTTGCTCACAAGGGGCCCAGAGCCGACCAAGGGCAGTGTTCAATGGGGGCCCGAAGATGGGCCTTGGGGGACCAACGGAACCGTCTATCAAAGGCCCGGTAGGATGGCATAAGTGCCCGAAAGGCTGGCTGTAGGTCGCATAAGGAATCGCAGCCCTAGGGTCGTGACCTGAAATGTCGGTCCGAGGTCCTCTTGCACCTTTTAAAGAACCTCTGAGACAACGCGGACGTCTAAGTCGGCCAGAGACCACGAACACCGAACAGTTGGCTTCCTGTCAGTCTGAACCCTGGGGCCCACCTCGGGTAGTGGCCCATAGTCTGTCACAGCCTTTGTTTGAGCAAGCCCGAAGCGGGGCCGGAGGGCCTCCCGGGACTTAAGATCAAGGGCCCGACTCGGATTTTAGCATTTTTGTTCTCTCCCCAAGGGGCAAAACAAAATTTCAGATACTGGTTTCAATGCTGACCTATCTATGTCGGTCGAAGGACTTAAGTTATTAGCTTTCAGTTGAACATTGATTTTACAAGAGGTACAGAATCTCATCACACAATGGGACTTTCCTGTGATTTCATCCGAACCAGGTATATTGCTCTTGTTAGTCAGCTTTACATTTGCATCAATTCATGTTTGTGTTGACAGTATGTTGCTACAGCTCCAAAACCGGGAAAGGCAAAAAGGTTCACCGTATGGCAATAAGAATTGGCTTGCATTTCGTTTTCAATTGCTTCTTTCCATATGTGGTCACATGCCCAAGTAATGTGCGCGGTAGGGAGGTGTCTTACCAATGCTCTTCCCAAAACGGAACATTAGAAGCATGAGGTATAAGAGACTGCATTAAAAACATTGGAACGTCCTTAGCTTCATTTCCTATCTTAAATAGCTGAAATGTCACTGGAAATGCACGAGCGTCATGCCGCAGTGGACAACAACGTTGGGGTAGGGTGGCGTTTTTATCTGACGTAAAAAATGTCGTCTCTTTACAACTATGGCGCAGTGCCGCGCCAGAAGTTGTCTCACAGAGAGTTTTATGGTACTTAAATAGCCCCATTGTCTGCCTTTTCGAAACGTATTTTCCGTGCCGTTCTTATTTTACCAGGCAGTTTTTAACATTCAGTCATGTAAAATTGGAAAAAACGAAAGTCAGTGGCGTTCTTTTTTATAACATTGGTCACAGCTTGTGCGAGCATCACTGCCCGATACATGTCATAGCAAGCCATTCACCACACCCTAACGTTCCATTACTTCGGAAGGGGCGAGGAAGAGCACGCAGTGATTTCTGCCGGGAAGATGTCTGCCAGAGCTTCGCCGAAGTGTAAGGATGCTGATGTGTGCACCTTGGAGTTGACGCGAGCCTTCCACTACTGCAGGATGCTCACATCACACCGGCTACCACAAGCACGGCGCAGACTGGGTCGACCGCAACAGACCCTGCATCAAGATGTCCTGCAGATACGGCACTATCCTCTCCTCGTAAGCTAGGCCAACGGTCGCGTCGGCACCTCCGCACGCGACCTTCCTCTCTGATGGAGGGCGTATCGCATCGGTTCCATCCTAACCAACTGCTGTGAGCACGGGCCGTCGGAAAGCTCAGCGGCTGTGACGATGTTCAGTTGACTACTAGAATGGGAGACTGCGTGGGTTCGCATCCCGGAATCGGCATTCGACTTTCCGCGCCGTCAGGGACAGTCAACCGGCGATGGGCCGCGAGAGGGTCAGGCTGACACCGGGCGACCGTGTTATTATATTATATAGCATGATATGATACGATGTAACGAAATCTTCCGGCCAGCGTTAACCCCCACACCGCAATTGCTCTGCCGGGCTGGAGACATCAGGGTTTCCACAAGCCACTGAAGACTCGGGTCCCACGGGTACCCATGCAAAACATTCGTCAGGAATGCATTCCTTATCCCTGATTGCCCCCACGTAGTCTGACTTACTAGGCGACATCACCGAGCTTTTCTTGTCGCGCTTTTAGTGATCAGCCCCCCCCCCTCACCCCCACCTTTGTGACCATGTCTAACCCTGTTCCACAGTCAGGCATATCATTCACTCCCCCTTAGGACATCTCTGTTGCCGTTTTGTACCTGACTTGCACATTCAGTGTTCATTCTAAGGGTCTTTACCCTTACGCCTACCTTCACCCTGGCACTCGTGAGATGGCCCTGCGTTTATACTTCTGGACCAGATGTGCTGTACACTGAAAATTATTGTCCAAAGTTCAATCCAAAGACCAAGGATGGACCTGCTGACCGTCCGAAAGCGTCCAAAAAGTTAGGCTACTGAAAAATGTTAAAGCTTCGCTTTGATAATATGAAAACAACTATTGCCTACACCCAGTAAATTCAAATACTCCTCACGTCCCTGCATTTCCTCACCAGAATCAAATGAAAAAACATGATCGTGGTGAGTAATCTGTATCAAAGGCCTTCGCGAAAATACTCACAATTCACAATTTAAATCGATGGCCGATAAGCTTGACTATCATTAGGATCAACGACAGCAGCTTAGTCGGATGGTGAGTGGTGACAAATTGCAGCAAGGCTAGTGGTGAGTATCATATTCTCTACTAAAGACATTAACGTTGTCATTTTCATACCGATACCCCTTATTTCAAATGAACTCTCTATTTCATGTTTCAAAAAGAAGTGTCTTGTTGTGTACTCTATCAGCAACTCGCTTAAGTTTATAATCAAATTGCTTTGAGCACGAACAGCATGACAAAGTTGAAATGCATATTAATTCTCGACGCGACAGAACAATGTCATCTGTCCAAAAACGAATCATTTTTGCTCCTGTCGGTAAAGTTTCTAAATTGGAAGTTTCATTTCCTCGAATTCCAAAGAATCCGAATATAATTGGAACCTCTATTTTTGTGCCAGCCCAGCGGCCATCTCTGGCCTGGTAGCCACGCCCTGCTACTGTGAAGCCCCAGCTCAGTGTCCGTCTCTGACCGGATCCCCACACCCTGACAATCTGAAGCCCCAGCTCAGTGGCTGCCTCTGACCGGGCCGCTGCAGAATCACGCAGTGCCCACCGCCTCCTGGCCCCCTGTGCGCCGAGACGCCGGTCCCCGGCGAGTGCTGCCCCCGCTGGGACTGCACCTCCAGCCCCTGCCCAGCCAATTACACCGACGTCACCTGGGAAGACGACTGCAACGTCTGCACCTGCAACAGCGCCGGCGTTGTCTGTACCGAGCACATCTGCCCAAAACGTGAGCACGTCCGCACCAACCACATCCGCCCAAAACACGAGCACGTCCACACCGAGCACAGATGCCCAAAACTTGAGCACGTCCACACCGAGCACAGATGCCCAAAACATGAGCGTATTGAGCACATCTTCCCAAAACGTGAGCACGTCCGCACCGACCACATCTGCCCAAAACACGAGCACGTCCACACCGAGCACGGGTGCCCAAAACGTGAGCACGCGCGCATCGAGTACATCTGCTCAAAACGTGAGCACGTCCATACCGAGCACAGGTGCCCAAAACGTGAGCATGTGCGCATTAAGCACAGATGCCCAAAACGTGAGCACATGCGCATTGAGCACAGATGCCCAAAACGTGAGCATGTGCGCATTGAGCACATCCGTCCAAGACGTGAGCACGTTCGCATTGAGCAGATCTGCCCAAAAACGTGAGCAGGTGCGCATTGAGCACTGATTCCCACAACGTGAGCACGTGCGCATTGAGCTCATCTGCCCAAGATGTGAGCACGTGCGCATTAAGCACATCTGCCCAAAACGTGAGCACGTACGTATTGAGCACATCTGCCCAAGATCAAGCACATACGCACTGAGCACATCTGCCAGCACGTGGGCGTGCGGCGGCACGTCTTTCAGAGGCATCAACACACCGCCGTGATCAGCAGTCGCTGACACGCCCTCCCCATGGTCAGAAGGCCCGCCCCGAGTCCAGGTTGATACGACCTCTGACGTCATCGTCGTCGCTCTTCGCAGAGTGCGTGGTGGCGGGCACCACGTACGAAACTGGTGACGTCATCATCGGCGCAGACCGCTGCAACAAGTCAACGTGCATTGACGGAGTGGCCGTCTCCGTTCTGGATGAGTGCAAGAGGCCGCCCAGCTTTCTATGCAGGTAAAGTGCTCTTACTGATACCGGCACGCGTTTAACTAGAACGGAACGTGGGTCTGAGGCAAACGATTCTTATTACATAGCATGCCTGTGTTCTGGAAGTGCGAAGCTGACATCTAACTGACACGTTCGGCTGTAAGCGAGATGCCTCGTTCCACGTTCGGCTCTAAGCGGGATGTTTTGTTCCACGTGCGGCTCTAAGCGGGATGCTTCGTTCCACGTTCGGCTCTAAGCGGGATGCTTTTTTCGACGTTCGGCTCTAAGCAGGATGCTTTGTTCAACTCTTTATTCCTGTCCAAGCGATTCGAAATCACCTATGCACTGTGGATGCACACCCGGGGATGGGCCAGATGATTCTAAGGAATCGTGCACGAAACAACCAAGCCGACATACGACACGGACGGTATGGTAATCACCTGGAAATATTATTTCCGTTCGGAGAAGTTTTCTATCGCTCGATGACTATGATTGCATTAAATCAGACTGAAACCAAACTAATTATAATTAGACTATCGCGTGGTCTCTGACTACGGCAAATGGCTAAACCGTTTGCTCCCTGACGTGACTACATGGGCTGCTAACAATCGTGCCCGTTTTGCCACGCTACCGGAAACCGCCGAGCTGAGCCGACAGTCAGAACTAGACCCCCCCCTCCCCCCCCTCCCCCCTCCCCCCTATCAGGTCTCGACCCGCCTACGCACAGAAAATATAAAACCAGGATTAAACTGTGATCTTAAGTATAGGCAAGTATAGGTAGTGTTGCGCTCGTAATCATTTCACATCGGCACGTGGGCCAAAGTGACGGCCTCAAGACACCGTTAACCACTCATGGCAGCCCCCGTGACCAATCGGACGGACCGGGGTCAGGTTTTAGGCGTGCTCACATGAGGAAGTCGTATGACACCCGCAACTATGCATACGGTACCCTGGAGATGCGTGGCCACCCGAGTTACGCCAAAGCGTATTATAAAAGCATAAGCGTTAGGGAAGAAAGCGTAAGCGCTGATGAAAAAAGCGTAAAAGCGCCAAAATGTGCGAAAAGCGTAACAACGGTAAAAATATAAAGAGCGTAAAAGCGAAGGCGTTGAGAAGGGTCACCAGGTACTGACCCGCGTCGTCAGGGAGATAGCCGAGCCTACCGGGGACTGCTGCCCGAGCTGGGAGTGTCAGGCCGTGCCGGGCATGTCCAGCCCCTGTCGTCTGGGCCAGATCTACCAGAGCAAGACCGAGTGCGTCTACTGCGAGTGCGTTCCGCAGCAGAATGCCGGCCCCCTCTCGCAAACCGTGCTCTGCTCCAAGATGGACTGCACCAGTGCCGGTGAGGCTGCCGGCCGCTCAGGACAGGGCGGCTGGCTGCGGCGGCCACTCGCTGATGCTAGTGGGTGTGGACTTCGGGGCATCGATGTTGGCTACAGGTTGGCACAGTTCATTCGAGATTGGCATCGTGCTAGTTTGGCGTTGACGGCGTCATGACCAAATTAGGTGGTTATTCCAGCTCGGGATGCCCCATGCAATGCGTTTCGTTATCCGCGGAAGCCTGCATTTTCCACTTTTCGAAGCTGAGGACGTCCGTGAATCTCACAGCTAGGGCTGCGATCTACCATTGGACCTGGGACGCTGGACAGGGCATTGTCAGGACGTGCTGAGGCAAACGCCGGCGTCCGCACTGCCGCAAACCTCCGGCTGACTCCGCCAGGCTGCTGGGACGCCAGTGCCGAACATGTGCACGGCAGCGTCTGGGCCACGCCCAACCCCTGCAAGCACCGCGCCTGCGTCAACGGTCACATCAAGGAGATGGAGGTGCGGTGCCACCCACCGCCTGCCGACAACTGCAGGCCGCTGCTGGACGACAGCAGGTCAGGCAGCCACAGCTTCAGCTACCGCAGACGCTGCCGGCCAACAGGGCGTTCGCAATCCCGAACACATTCCCCCGGAAGCTTGTGTCTGTTCATTCCGTGTCTGGTGCTCTATTGCTGGGTGACTGGCCCACCAGAGCCGGACCTATTCTACCGAGCAGTTGCCTCGCACAGCTGCCATGCTGCGCGGTCGCAGCCCGCGGGCTGCAGTATGGAGGGTATGACACCCAGCTGGTCACCAGGGAAATATTTTGTGTTGGGACACCGCTCAGTGTGGATTTGGAAGTTCTCTTTTCTGAATAGTATGACAGAGTGAGGCTGAGGCTGCTTTTGTGCACCTGGATGTGTGGCTGAGCCCTGTTCTACGGGGCAGATGCTGTCCGATCTACCACTGCGCTGACACGTGTAAGGACGGTGACACCTGGACCAGCGACTGCAACTCGTGCTACTGCCGGAGCGGCCTGGCTGTCTGCACAGAGCGTCTCTGCAGCAGTGAGATGCCACGACGGACCCCCCCCCCCCCCCGCCCAAGTGCTCCTCAGCCGGCACCACTGCAGACGTTCCTCTGCTGGACACCACTGGAGATAGTCCTCAGCCATGCACCACTAAGGACAGTCCTCAGTTGGACACCATTGCAGACAAACGACATGTGCATCGGTGTCACGTCTCCCACTATCGATGAGAGTGTGCTTCGTGGCATCTGGCGTTCGCCGGCTCAGGGATGCCCTTTTATACCATGGCATGCCAAAAGTCATACCAGTGAAACTTCGTGACAAGACAGTAGTAATAGTCGTATTCCCCAGAGAAAAAGCAGGAGAGTGGAGATATAGTTGAGTTAAGCCCAACTGTATCTCCATTCTCCCGGTATTTCTCCGATGCATGAGGCCATTACTGCTGTCTTAAACATGTGAATAATGTTCCTCGCTAGTGCACTGGATAAGTTACGAAACTTCGTGGCATAACATACGCTCGAAAAGCTGTTTTTAAAAGAACATCAAGCTTCAGAACATCAAAAGGCAGGCGCCAATCGGCTCGTTATATTGCGCGTGTGTCTTGAAGATACATGGTGGTTGTTAGATCCCGCTATTCCGGACGGTTGTTGCTTTGTTGACAGATTGCACGGAAGGCGAGACGTGGAAGATTGATTGCAACACTTGCCAATGCATCCAGGGACTGGCAGTCTGCACACAAATTGCGTGCGCCGATAGTACCGGCAGTAAGTCGGTGCACACATGTGTCCGCGTTGAATGTCTGTTAAAGAATGTCTAACCCCCGAGCCTGAAAACTGCCATTGGCCGGGTGTACTAGGTGTTTCATGTGTTATGTTTTCGTTTCATATTTCGGATATGCAATTACATCTACGCACTTATCTTTCTCAGGCGATACGTCCGGTGTCAAGCAATAGTTCGAAAGAGCCGCTGTGGAACTGTGCAGTGCTGCAGCTTTCATTGGTCGCCAGTGTCGTGCGGGATAGCACTGTCCCGCACGGACAGCAAAAGGGCATCCTTTTTCGCCCTTTCACTTTCCTTTTGGCACTTGGCAAAAGGACAGTCATTCCGTCTTCCGAAACATAAAACATTGACATACGACACTGCACGGACGCGGCCCGCCTTCTTTTTCCTCTAGGGAACATCAGTGAGCGCCCAGTGACTGATGCCTAGACGCGTAAATGTAGGCTCTGTCTCTCGTTCACTGCCTAGCATATTTGCGATAGTCTTTTTTCGCATAATTGTAATGCAGCACGGATCATCGCGGTTACGTTTATTCCATTCAAGCTCCTCAGCGCCCATGTCCAAATGTCGCAAGGGACTTGCCCCATCAAAATGCTTCCACCAAATCAACGTTACATATCGTACACCAGATGCCGAAGGGAGGTATCCAGCATTCCAGGACACTCACCATCGAAATCCTGCTCGTAGCGGAACAACGAAACGTTAGGCCGGCAAATGAGGCTCAACCCGATGATTTCTCGCACAGGATAACGAGGGGGGCCTTTCAAAGGATCTACGTCGTCCCTTTGCAACCGCTATCGACAACATTTCGGCACTGAAACACAGTTTGACTTAACCCCCTTTCAAAGCCCTCATTCCTGGTGAAATGAACTTCAGACGAGCCTGCCAATTACGCTCTGTAGGTCGTGTCATCTCATCGATGAGGTTGTTCCCACAGTGAAAATTTTTAGTAGGCACGGATGTATGCTGCGGGCGTGTGAGTACAAATGTGTGTGCGCATCCATTGCCCTCTTCCACGTTTTCAGTTGTAAACTTCCATGTTCTCAGCTGTAAACTTCAACATACGCGCGCTGCGATGCGGGTAATCAAACCAAGATTTCAAGGCGCAGGCACACGGTGATTGACGGTTTTGGGTATAATTGAGCTTTCACCTACTCACCAGTGGGATAACGTTTCTCCTCACTATCGTACGTAACTAACGTACGTAAGTAACGTAGCCTAACACGTAACTAACCCACTACCCTTTTTCACAGATGACTCGTGCGTTGAAGGAGACAGGTGGGAAGTCGGCTGCAACACCTGTGTGTGCGTCGATGGTCTGCCGGCGTGTACTTTGCTAGAATGCCCCTCGGAAAGTAAGTGAGAGCTCGTTATTTGCCTCTCTCTCTCTCTCTCTCTCTCTCTCTCTCTCTCTCTCTCTCTCTCTCTCTCTCTCTCTCTCTCTCTCTCTCTCTCTCTCTCTCTCTCTCTCTCTCTCTCTCTCTCTCTCTCTCTCTCTCTCTCTCTCTCTCTCTCTCTCTCTCTCTCTCTCTCTTCTCTCTCTCTCTCTCTCTCTCTCTCTCTCTCTCTCTCTCTCTCTCTCTCTCTCTCTCTCTCTCTCTCTCTCTCTCTCTCTCTCTCTCTCTTGAATAAAAAGTACGACATTTTGCACTTTGGAAAGTTTCTGGTTACGTTTTTCAATTTTTCGAACGTCACTTTTGACGCGGCTGATTGGATGAAGCAGCAGTTCACCAGAAAGCATGCGTCGCCTGGACCTATTTTCGTCGAAAAATGTTTCGGATGCACCGTCGTTCCATTTGCAAAAGCGATATCTAGCTCAGCAGTTCCTACCGGCAACTGATACTTTCGAAATCAGAACTTAGAACACGGGCATACAAGCAACAATAGGCTTTTCATTGGGTAACGCTGCGCGTCGTTTCGCCTGGCGAAAACGTCTCCTTTTCTTGATTGCACTGAATATATCATTAAAATATCACACCGTGACATACTTTATGGTAAGAACGCCTAGCAAGACTGCATATGATTAATTGCATGACGTATCATAATCATATATTTAACGTAAAAAACAAACCAAAAATGAACAACGAGCTTTTGGCCTCAAGACATCGACCGGTTGTAAACTTTCTTCCCTTTCCTTCAAACGCAAGGTTACACTCACCCCAGTGTCACCAATGACTGCTGTTCGGGAGATAACATGTCAAATCAAACGTCTGCCGAAAACATGTCTACGACTCTCTATGCATCGGTACCAATATGCGTCATTTTTTTAAGGGTTAGCTTGAAATTTATCATGTGGATCGATTGATTTTGGTCTCGGAGCGATCACGGTTTGTTGATAAGTTTACGGTTCAGGGTTTGGATCACGGATCCAAACCGAATAAACGAATCCCACGTAAACGGACGTCTCCAAGATGTTGATTGAACCGATACGGGCCTGGTATCCCACTATCGCCACCGTAAAACCCGACACGATACGGGACTGGTACCCCGCTCCTGCCTCCATGAAACCCGACCCGGTACGGGACTAGTAGCCGGCTGTCGCCTCCGTAAAACCCGACGCACCCTTCCGTTTCGCCGCCTGTGTTTTTGCACACTACGTCTTTCAAGGGCACTTACCAGATAAACCACAGTCTCAGGTATGGCGGCGTTGACGGCCCGCTGGACAGGACGACTTTGTTAAGGCTGGCCGTGCCAGGCCTTGTCTCTGGGTTGGCCCGCTGACTCAAGCCACCCTGGTAGGTGTCCTGATTATTCGTTGACCCGATTATTGATACCCGCTCAGCTAGCATCCTGTCGACATACGGCCGGCGCATGCACGCCAGCTGGTTAGGTTTGTGTCTCTGGCTGTTGTTAGGAGATATTTGGAAGTGATATCGGCGCAGTTGGTGAAGTGCTCTGGATGGCCGTTTTTGTTGTACAAACCCACCACGTGTCGGAGGCTGCGGCCAATGCCCGACCTGTCTGACGAACACCGAACTGCGCCTGCCATCTGTGAATGAGGCACAGCTCTTTGCGTGCTCATGGGATCGGCTGAGTTGAGACTGGGGATAATGGGGCTGCCATGGGCTTGGAGAGAAGCTCAGTAGGGTACTCTGCGAACGGGTGCACTGCAGTACAAATATCAATAAATGGTATGGGCCCTGTTCCAAACGTGTGTTTGATGGTTAGTCAGATAGCGGGATTACGGGAATTTATCGTGTTAAGGAAATATGTTCGTTTGTCTAGTCCATATGTCCATACCTTGAATGTCCATACCGTGTGAAATACGTGTCCTGAGACTCCTGACCTCGGCTCCCCGTAAGACGTGTCCTGACCTCGGCTCCGCGTGAGACGTGTCCTGACCTCAGCTCCGCGTGAGACGTGTCTTGACCTCAGCTCCGCGTGAGACGTGCCCTGACCTCAGCTCCGCGCGAGACGTGTCTTGACCTCAGCTCCGCGTGAGACGTGTCCTGACCTAGGCTCCGCGTGAGACGTGTCTTGACCTCAGCTCCGCGTGAGACGTGTCTTGACCTCAGCTCCGCGTGAGACGTGTATTGACCTCAGCTCCGCGTGAGACGTGTCTTGACTTCAGCTCCGCGTGAGACATGTCTTGACCTCGGCTCCGCGTGAGACATCTTGACCTCAGCTCCGCGTGAGACATGTCCTGACCCCGGCCCGCGTGAGACGTGTCCTGACCTAGGCTCCGCGTGAGACGTGTCCTGACCCCGGCCCGCGTGAGACGTGTCCTGACTTAGGCTCCGCGTGAGACGTGTCCTGACCCCGGCCCGCGTGAGACGTGTCCTGACCTAGGCTCCGCGTGAGACCTGTGGTGGCCGCGGCTGCACGCTACCTGAGGAGACTGGCCAGCTTACCTTGACTCCACCGCAGACTCCGCAGGCTGCCCGAGCCCGGTCAGACCTCTGGTGCTGCCTGAACAGCACCCCAACGGCACGTGCACCGGCCCCGCCGACTGCACCGGTGCCTTCACGGGCTGCTGCGACGGCCGCTGCGTCACCCTCTCCCAGAAGGCGACGTTTTGCCCGGTCAGCACTGACATCGTCGGCTGCCCGCTGCCCAAGTTCGCCTGCTCGGATGACCACCAGTGCCCCGGCGCGCTCAAGTGCTGCCCGCTCGCTGCCTGTGGAGGCCTGGTCGCCTGCGTTTGACTGCGTCCTGCGTGTCGACCATCGACGTCGTCCTGCGGTCCTAGACGGCCCGAGGGCGCGCTGCGGCTCACGCGGACAAGAGCCTTGGCTGGGCGGGCACGAGAAGGCGCCGGCCGATGCCTGCTGGCATTGATGGCTGCAACGATATAGCAGTGTGTAGTTTGTAACCAGCCCAAGGCGACCAGCTGAGAACGCTGAAGCCGTCAGCATCCGTGCTCTTGTTGATTGCAGGAGTCCGCCAGCGGCCAGACCTTAGTAGTGCTGTCAGCATGTACGATAGCTCCTGTTTGTTTTCAGTTCGCACACCCTGTTGGTGGAAAATTGGTTTGGTATGGTCTCCCCCCCCCCCCCAAACGTGTACTCTTTGAAATCGCTCCCGCACCCCTCTGTACAAGTATTGACAATAAAAGTAAGGGCGTGGCACTCCCGCGTTCCCTGGTTTGCTGTGTCAAGTGTGACGTCCCAAAGAGTAACCTCGAATTGCTATCTATGTGAGCTAAAGGTGCGAGACAAAGAAGTGTTGCTTGCAATAAAAGGAATCCGGGTTTAGTAGAAAAGGCATCTAGCTCGATTTATTCTCAGCTTTTGGCATAATTAGCAACAACACACGACCGTAAGCACTGTCCAAAGCTTCCCAATCTCTTCCTTGTTACCGTTACGCTTCCCCGGCTCCTGCCTTTTATGCGTAACGTGATTTGTGGAAGACCTCTGCGTACTTCGTTGACTATCCACAATCGAATGAAAATGAAAGCTCTTATGCGCGATACCCAACATTTTTTTCTGTAAAAAGCTGTCATACCTCGTTTTTCGCATATATTTGCTTAAGTGGTAAAGGTAACAGCAGCTCGCATATACTCAAATACCGAACCATTTGAGTAGCATCGCCTGAAAATGCGCCACGAGAGTGGTGCAAATACTTCACAACTATTGCCTGCTACGCTACAAGTGGATTACGGACCACGCGCCGGCACCAAGTAACCAGCAAGTCTCGGTCGGTCAAATAGATCCGTGAAGTCATAGCCGGCTCTCGAACTGGGAAACGACCGGGTATAGGGGCGTAGGTTCGGAAAATGAAATGCGGGCCGGGGGCTTAACAATGGAAGATGCCGGAAAGTACGCGCAGAATACGCCAACAAACGAATTTTCCACAGATCTGGCTCACTTTTTCCTTAGTCCGGGGGGGGGGGGGCCTGGAACCTAGGCTGGAGGAGCTGAAACCCTCCCCCAAATAAGCAGGAAACTACTCTTCTGTCCGAGCAATAAGAATGGAGATGGCAAGAAGGAAAAGCATGCAAAAAGTTTGCGTCCCACATGGTTTAGCTGCAAAACGGGCCGGGCGGGTCGGTTGCGCGGAGACAGGTGGCAGTTACCACCCTACCGAGAATCCAGAATTCCGACTAAAATTTTGGATAAGTCTTGACAAGCTGTCTTTGTTCGTAGCCTCGTACAAATTTGTCCAGCGGTAGAGCTGCAGCTTTGGTGTCCGCAGGCACAGGGCTGGGCAGACTGACATGGGGCCTAGGATCTGGCACGCCGCGGACATGCGTATTCCAAAGAACAGCCTTTGCTATCTAAATGTTAAAACGTACTAAGCTAGTTTTCATTGTGGTGAGTGCCAGCTACTCGCACCCCGCTCAAGCCGCATGCATGCTGTTCCTAAAGAGCCCCGCGTATCCAGGTCATGACTGGTGCTGGGCTGCACATCTGTAGAGTTGTACAACTCAAATAAAAATTCCTTCATTTTATTTAGTTGTGTTATTAGCTTATCGTAATGTGCATCATATTCCGTGTCAAACTGGCAGCGCAACTTCATAGCTTGGTGCAAACGTGGAACGTGGCCAAACTGAAGCACCTCTTTCAGACGAAACACTCAGCTGCCAAACGCCGCAAGGGTGACAGGTCAAGAGCAATGTAAATGCACGCGAGCATACTCCCGTCTCACCGGAGGCACCCCACCCACACAATGCACACGTCTGTCTGCCTTGCCGTAGCCATGATCAGCGGTTCTAGCCACGTCGGCTGGTCGGCCAGACGCCACACGCTCTCTGTTCTGCGGGGCTGTAGAGCGTCGGCGGGCCGTTGCTGTACGCCGGTGTGGGTGGCATTCCTTCTGCGGCCCGGAACAGCGCTTCGCAGCAGAGACTGCAGGCTTGCGGTGTTGGACGAGCTCCGGCAGCCAGAGAATGGGACGACGCCAGCCCAGTCCTGATCAGCCTAGGCGCGGCGCACCAAGCACCAGGTGAAGTCCTCCGGCTGCCGCCCCCGTGGTGAAGGGGAAAATGCTGGACTCGTGATCCGGCGACACTGGGTCCCAGAGCGGGCGCATTATTCAGCCCGACTGAAATGGAAATGTCAGCTGGCAACCGGCCACCGGTGGCCGACCCAGGCCAAGGGCGGCCGTGTCGCAGCATTGTGCGGCGGGTAAAGCCCTGGGATGAGTGTCTACGGGATTGGGCAATCATTGGCATTTCAGCGATCGCGCGACTAGCCCTGCCATCTAGCGAGAAAAGTGTCATATTACGGAGAGAATGCCGGCCGGGGTGTGAAGCGCATGATATCGGGCGGCTGTAGTGCCCCTTCCTCGTGTTTCCATGGCTCTGAAGGAGTCCAGTGTTTTCTCGATATCAGAGGGTTGGGGACGGACATTATTTCGTCATTGTTACTTTCAGTTTGCGTATTTATTTTTTTCAAATTCAGTGAAATGTAGAGTGCGTGGCATTCGCTGCACCCTGGTATTTGGATCAGTACCTAGTGTAAGCGTATAGACAGACGCCTCTTGTTAGCCAGGAATGTGTGCAAGGTGGGACATTTGACTTAGCTCTAACTTGAGGTCTTAGCGGGGTAGTGATAGTGGGCTAAGGATATTTATGACCACATTCCTGCCCCATTCACTGTACCTGCACACTGCAGACAGACCAGATGTGATAATCGCTAACGGGCACATTTTGTGATCTTTAAGTTTTTTGTAGCTCTGGTGCTATTTACAAATTAGCTCTGTACCACACAAATCTGCAAGCGTAGCTTATTTGAAAAGATCAAATTGTCCCTAGTGTTGTGTCGATCAATGTCTCACAGGGCTTTTCTACGCGCGCGTATAGCGTCGCGGCACTGGTCTGTCCACCACGGAACAGGGGGACGACGTGGAGCGCCAGATGTACGTGGTATGCTTTCTTCTGCCGATTGTAAGATTGTGGGGGTAAGCTTCTCTACCGATGCAGACTCAGCCACCGAAACGGAAGCCAGCCTGGTTTCTACCCGTGCCTGAAGCTCATCCCAGTCAGCCTGTCTGGGATTCCACCGTTGTGGACTGGAGCCGGGAGCTGCTCCGTTCTGGTTACGCAACTAGGCGGGGTAGTGATCATTACCAAAGGAGTCCAATCCTGGGTGGCGTAGGGGAGGACCCATGGGTAAGGGTCTGCTAGACATCTGAGGACCAGCGGGGGGCTCCACTGGTCTTCTGGGCAATGGGCTGTGGGGGACGGACTCCTGTTCGCCCCGGACACACGGTTCGCCGCCTTTGCCTGTTCTTGTTCGGCCAAGCGCGCCCGCTTAGCATTGCGGGCGCGCCTGCCCGCCTCGTGCCGCTCCAGCTTTTCCAACACCCGCCTGCATGCTTTCGCTAGTGGTGTCGGAGGCGACGCAAACAGCGGAGCACACGAAGCGGAGGCGGACGAGGCTGGTGAAGGAACAGACGCGGAGGCCGGTGGAGCCCGCGGGCCACGGCCGCGCCGGACCACCGTCCGACCCTCCTCTCCGGCAGGAGACAGAGAGTCGGCAACCTCTCCGGCGTCGGGAGAGTCAGCAACATGATAGGTGTCGACCGGCCCGGCACCGGGGAGGGAGCAGGGGGCTTAACCCGAACGTCAACGTCCACCACAGACTGGTCGGTCGGCGAGGAGGGAGTTCCTTCTGCCGGCTGGGAGTTCGGTGTACGTGCTGAAGGTGCAACTGTAGACCAAACGACCTCAGGAGTCCCACGAGCTAGATGACAGTCATCTGCTTGATGACGTTGTTATGCAGCAAAGCAGTTTTTGCTTTCGATGCATTCCAGAACTTAGAGTGACTCGGGCCATATAGGTCCATGGCCTCTCGGAAAGATATGTTTTTGGGCGTTTTCAGCGAAAATACTTCCTTTTCTCCGGCAAACGCTGGGCACGCACAGTCTAACACAGTGTGCGGTGTTTGGTCCCTGCCACAATTGACGCAATAAAGCTGGTCAGCGGTGCGGTTGTCGCTCAGGTGGGTGGTGGACGAACACTTGCCGCACACTGGCTTATTGCGACAATGGGGCTTCGCATGACCGAACCGCTGACATTGGAAGCAGCGCATTGGGTTGGGAATAAAAGGATGGAGTTTCACGCGGGCATAGCCCACACGGATATCTGATAGTAGATCTGGACGATTGAAAGTGAGGAAGATGTCGGTAGCATTCAGTTCTCCTCCTCTCCTGACCAGGATTCTACGCGCGGCGGCTACGCCGAATTCCGAAAGCTCCCCGACAATTTCGCTGTCACTTACATCACGGTGGTCAAAACAATGTACAACGCCTCTAGGTGAGGTTTTTGTGTTCTGTGGTGTTACTGTCAAAGCTACGGTTTTGCCATGATTCCCGTTCTCATCACGAATGCTATAAATGAACTCCTTCGCTTCTAATGAACGCTTCGCCTCCAGACTACTGGCGAACTCTACCTCGATGTTGCCATCCCTCAGCTTGTCCCCTCTCGTGATGTTTCCAAACTTATCACAGCCATTCCGCCGTTGGAAAGGCGACAGGGTGGAAAGCTTTACATCTCCGCTGGAGAAGATCAGAATCCCATGGCAAGGGGGGGGGGGGGGGCGAAGCCCTCTCGCACCTGGGCCTTAGCGCTGTCCGACCTCCTTTCGGGGCCGGGCGTCTGTTGAGTTTTGATAAGCCATGCGATTTCTAGCAAGCATTCGGCACCGGGCCTCCCCGCCGACCTGGGAGCCCAACTGAGAGACGGTCCACGGCCATGCTCTTTTTAAGATCCAAAGCCCTCTGGTTTCTGAGTTATATGCCCGCAAAAGTGCGAAAAGATTTATTGAGAAACTACTTCAAGGTCACCTTGGCATTGATGTCGTCATGGAAACGTCATACGGTTGCCGCCATATTACAGGCTGTTTTCTGCTTTTGGTCAAAACAGCGTGGCCGCTCATACATTCGCAAGAGCAATGATGCGGCACCCATGATACAATCCGGGGAAGGTGATTGGATGTCAGTTAGATTTCGCTGCTGAATGTGTGTCGCGAACGTAAGCGTGAGCACTTCCGGGTTATACACCACTCGTCGCCAACGGGAAATTCCTCGTTAGTTCTAGACCATAGGTTGATGTTATAAAGATGAGAACGACACAGTCTGCAGCAAAGTACCGCACCGATAAAAAGAACAGCACTCTCCCGAATGTTATGAAAACACAAGAC